AAAGTCACACTCTGAACGTGAAATATTGTGAATTGTAACCAGGCTTGAATGCTCATCAACAGTAATTTGTTGAAAAAAAAATAAAGTTTGCACCTACCGGTCTCCAACCATGGCAGTGTCTTCAGCGCATATGCCTGCAGTCTCCACAAGGTAGTCAAACATCGCCTTATGGGGCTTCCCGAAAACGATTGGATCCTTGCCAGAAGCAACACGAACAGCTGCGACCACGGAACCCGTACCTAAAAGCAGAATATGTTTGGGGTATTTTTTAAAAGAACCCAAATGATGTCCACATTTTCGGCCTCGTCATCTTCCAGGATTGAATTAAACGGCGGAAGTACACAGTGCTTAGACGGAGAAAATGTACTTTGAGTAAACCTTAATTCACTTAAGACTCTTTAAGCTACTGTTCAGAAAACAAAACGGAATGTGCTACAGCCATAAAACCTACCAATATTTGACTTTTGGGCGTATAGCATCAAGTTTAAGTATGCATGAATTTTATGGCAAAATATCCCCATCTAATCTCACAAGGTCAATAAAGGCATAACTGCTTCTTAATTTGCGTTAGCTATCAAAATTAACAGAAAATAAAACTTACCGGGCCATATCCGGTCAGGAGCTGGCAGTTGAGCATCTTCGTTGGTTGCGTAAAACTTACATCCCCTTCCGATAAGGGTGGCAGCTTTCATGCATTTAACATAGTTAAATTGGGAATCATATCCAACTAGCACGTTTTGAATCTATCAAACTGAAAAAATGAGCATAGATCTACTTCAGGCTTCAATTCAGACGGGTCAAATGTGTTTGCTTCCATTGCATCTTTCTGGAAAACTTTATATGGAAAAGTACACTTGCGCCAATGCCTAAGGAGGAAATTCCGACCTTGGATAATTCAATAGCAATTCCTTCTTCCCCAATAACATACAAAGGACCTTGCATGCCTGTCTTTAAAAGAGCATTCGCTGCAACTTGAGCCACACATATAATATCAGACTGCCATGAAGCGTAGGATGTCTTACTTTTTCAACTGGCAGCCCAAGTTTACGACACTTTTCATAGTATTGTTCGTTGGATTTGCGGCTATTGTTTGTTAGTAGAATGCAGCGTCTCCCAGACTTTTTCACGTACAGAATAAAGTCAATTACCCCTGGTGTTAGAGTTGTTTGATTCCATAATGTTCCTAATAAGACATGCAAGGAGAAGGTCCAAACGTACCATCACAATCAAACACGAATGTGCGGCATCGCTGGAGCATTTGTACAGGAACCTTGGGCGTCTAGCAGAACCGTCAATGTGGAGTACCAAATCGGTCTGCTAGAAAGACAAGAGGATCAGAACAGCGATATAAACAATCGGTGTACGGACCTCATTGGCCGCTACTACTGATTGGGTATTAGGCTTCTGTGTATGTTTTTAATCAAACTGCTAGTTTTGGCTAGGCACTGCATCTGGACACTGTAAACATTTGGGTGTGTAAATTCTTCCGTCCTGACGATCGATCATTTCGGTAGTGCTGTATAAATAGTCTGTCTTTTATCACCGAAAGGAGTCAGATTGTCGCAGAGAATAGCTAGGTTTGAGAAGCCACGGAATGTGACAGTGCAAAGATCGGTGATGTTAGGTGATGGCAACATGAAAACTGGGAAGCATAGTTCGAAATAAAACAACATGGATGACTAGAACATTCCGGAATTCGAAATATAAGATACCAATAATATGATATCAGTTACGCTATAGCTTACAATTTTTCTGAGCGGTATTTCGTCCGATATGGCAGCAGATTAATAAATTGTACCGTTCTTCAAACAAAAATAAAAGTTATTACAACCAAAGTAGTCTAGTAACGATAAATAAAAAGTAAACATTGCAACCCTGCCAGCCAAATCGCCGGGTCTCTCATTAAAATTCCGGGGTGATTGGGGGTGGTCCGGGAATGACGACGGGGATTCGAAGGAGTGAGGACGGGGTTTTCAACCCGCATATCCCCATCCTCACCCCCGGATCTCCCCGTTGAAATTCCGGAGAGAGTATGCATATTATTAAATTATCCGTAAAAATAATATCAAATGTCCCCTAAAAACGCACCATAAGTTCAAAAATAGTCACAAAAGGCGTTAGATTGCTTTTCAGGTCTTCCTGCAGCATTCTGGTAATTTCGGGTTGCGGAATAACACATATTCCTAAAACATCGACCCCGGATACACATGCATTCCCCCGTCGTCACCACCGCCCAGTTTTAGGCGTGCGCTGTCAGGGAATCTTGCCGCAGTTAGTCATAATTGCAAGCGATCGTGGGTGTTTTAATAGGGCAATAAATTGACCATGTAGGCAAAAGCTTCACCCGACCAGAAACGGAACTCATCTAAGTGTCGATATACCCTGACCTAAACCGGCTAGACAACGAGCTCGTGGCTCAATGGTTTCGGCATTTGACTCTGATCAAAAAGGTCGCGAGTTCGAGGCTCGGGTGGGATACCACTTAACTGGCTGACAAAGGCTAATAGGCCAGAACTGTCTATTCCATTCTCCCTTGTCTTTGCCAGCAATACTATCTGCCTATACAACAGTAACTGTTAATTTGCAACTCGCGATCGGATTTATTCGGCTTCATGAGGATCAGGGATAATATGCTTGCTTATTTATTGCAGATAATAAACTGCCTCGAAAAACATGCAGTAGTGACTTGCACATGAAATTGTTTACGATAAATCAGTCTTAAAAGCGTTTACCTCAATTCTTTTTCCGAATATTGTGGAAATGGCAGAACAGAATCAGAACGACCGACTTAACTGCATGCGCATCGGCCCTGCTCAAAGCCGTCTCGGATCTTACACGTGAACGACCGCCATATAGGCCATATTATAAAAGACCTGAGTATGAGCAGATGATCCCGCTAGTTGCTAACTTTCTAGTTCACAACCATCTTCATGTGGTAGTTTAAAAGCCTGTTTGCCTGTTTGTAGAGAGGCGATTGCATGATATACCCGAACTAGATCCGTTTCACTCTCCCTCATCCCTCCCACGTATACCACTTTCCTGTACATGTGTGGATGAGGAAGCTAAATAACTGTCGACCGTCGTTTGTCGGCTGAAAGGATGGCCGAACCGGTCGTGTAGTCCAGTGTAATCTGCCTGTACCTGCTGATCTCCAACCTCCTACAAAGAGACCACATGCTCTTAGGAAATCCCAAATGTCCTTCAGAATAACCACGTGAAGATAAGAAATTTGGCAAGCTCACATTTCCATCTGTTATGCTTATTGCTTATTACTCAGCTACTGACAGTTAAAGCATGTAGCAATATTAGTTGATGATGGAGCAGATTGCTCGCCTCTTACACAGAAGACCTCTCT